CTTCAGCTCTTCTTCAGCAGGAGCTTCATTCTGCTTTCTATGGCGTGTCAGAGGCGTTTGTCTGAGGACGTGACAGAACCTCCAGAAAACACTGAGATCAGAGAACTAATGACAGGACAAACCAAATGTTATTAAATATGACATAATAATTGAACTGTATAATTTTGTAAACCATTGATTTTTTTTTTTACTGTAAGTGTTGCTTGAGTAACTTTTTTTTTGTTGTTGTTAACAGATTTTCCGACATCTACAGATCTATAACAAGTATTACGGAAAACACTCACGCGCTGCCGTCCGTCTCTTCTGTTGACTACTCGCTTCTCCCAAGTTATGACAGAGACCAAGCTGTTTAAATAGTCTACAGTTGCTGTGGCCGCCTTCTAATTAGCACAGCCAATAGTCTATAGCAGGGCAATTCCTCAAATCGAAACTACAGTTCGCACTTAAACGCAGGAAGGGAGCAATTAAATTACACGCGCTCCTTCTTAGCCGAGGGCAATTATTATAATTACCAGAAAGTGCAATCAAAAATACACACGCAAACAAAAATATAATGTAGAAATAGGCAGAAAACGAATTATTCCTTCCTAGCAGCAAGTAATAATTCCAACAGCAGATCTATAAACAAGTATTACGCAGGACACTCACGTGCAGCCGTCTGTCTCTTCTGTTGACTAATCACTTGACAGTGATCATGATGCTTTAATGCTGTTTCAATCAATATTTACTCATATGTGTATTAATACATCGAGAGCAAAAGCTTTAGTGAAGGTCAGATCAGATCAGTGTGTGTTCAGAGGAGAGACAGTCACTCTCTTTACTTTTACTTTAGTCTCTGTCACTATGATTACAGGCAAGGCTTGACATTAATGCTTTTGCTCTGCAGTCACTGTGGCTAGTGGTTTTCCAAACTTACTAGCAACTCAGCTTTTTCACTGGCCTCAATTTTGTTGAGAAATTAAATTTTATATGATTCAAGCGGACTATTGCAAAGTAAAATCTACTTAAATTGATTTCCAGGTCATTTTTGCCTAAATAAAGGAAAGTTTTTTCCCCTAACATTATATTAAATGTATGTGCCATCTTTCATATTGAATTCTTACATTTTATTAATAATTTCAGTTACTGCAATAAGACACTATGGGGCTGTTACCAATCAAATTAAATCAATATCATCAAAATTGATGCTTCCACTGCAGAAAGAAACTGAAGCAGCTGATGTGGCATTTAGATGCATTTACACAGACAGTTTAATGATGCTGACATGTAGCATGAATGCACTTATGCTGCAAAATTACAACTACATAAATAATGTTATCAGCTTAGAATTTAAATCTGTTTTTTTTAATATCCAAATATGAAATGTTGGGGGGGGAATGCAATAATGTGCTACTTTTAAATATGACAGTAAAGGCCAGTAGGTGGCAGCACGTGACTGTTTTATGAAGTGAGGTACTGAGTCTTTCATTCAATCGATTCATTCAGAAGGCAGATTCATTCAAGAATGAAGCAAGTACCTCTCTTTATGAATGGGTTATTAAATTATTGACTCACCCAATTCATTCAAAACACTGAGTCATTCAGTAAGGAAGCACCGCTGTGTGTTGCTCAGAGATGTGCGACTGTTCTGCTGTGATGTTTGTCTGGAACAATTTTTTTAATCAAATCGAGCTAAAACAGTCAACACTGACAATATTGTGTCTAAAATTGAAGTCACATGGTTTTCAGGGAAAAGTGCACTCTCTTGGTCTTTCACTTGTCCCTTCAAAAAAATCCTGAGGATCTGTATCATGAGAACAGAAATGGAACTGAGCGAGAGAGTTCAATAGAGATGAGTTTTGTCCTGAAGTCAGAGAGAATAAGGTGACTTACAGATAATTATGTTAAATGAGTTCATGAAGTCTTCAGATAGTCTGTTGAAGTTGAAGCCAGAGCCTCCAGAAAACACTGAGATCAGAAAACTAATGACAGGACAAAACCAAACCAGAACAAACATTATAAAATATGACATAATAATTGAACTGTATAATTTTGTAAACCATTTAAATTTGTTTTACTGTAAGTGTTGTTTGAGTCACTTTTTTTTTTTTTTTGTTAATAGCTTTACCCACATCTACACTCACTGTGACTCCAAACAGTCCTGTATTCACTGGAGAAAGAGTGAGTCTGAAGTGTGTGATTGAGTCTGATCACAGTGACTGGAGATATGAGTGGTATAAATACAGCACTAAAGTGTCTGAGGGTTACACTGTAAATGGAAACACTCTCACTATTGAACGATCTGAAACATCTGATTCGGGTCGGTACACGTGTAAAGGACACATAGATGGAAGATCAGTCTCATCACACTCCAGCTCTGATGTTTATCTCTCTGTGACGGGTGAGTTGAATATCATTGTCCTCCTAAATAATTTGATTTAATTGAAAGTTTATGATACTCTTAAATTATTTAAATATTGTACACTATGAAATTGTTTAATATGTGAATTAAAGAGCATACATGTTGACTGAATATACAAATCAACTGGGCCGGCCCATCGCGTCGGCGAAATAGGCTGCTAGGGGCTCCCAAATTAGTTAAGGTTTTTTTTTTTTTTTTAATTAGGGGTGCAGTATATATCGACATATAATCGATATCGCATTATGGCTTAATGCCATAGTCATGTCGCGAAGGCTGTGATTAAATTAAATAAAAATAGCTATGCGCTGCAGTTTTCTTATTGAAGCGGTAATGTGTTTGAGTGCGGCCCATGGCAGGCAGCTCTTCACTCTGAAACATGCAGCGCATTTATTTATTTGCTGGCAAACCACCAAAATAAAAGCAGTTTATTATTTTAAATTGAGCAGAGATGCACCGATCGACCATCAGCCATAAATCGGAACTGGGCGTTTTTTTGTTTTATTTCAGAGTCTGTAAACAGCGTTAACAGAGGCCAAAGACACAAAAAGGAGAAAATACATTAGAAGGCAGAGCAAGCTCACTGTTCACAATGGGCGAAGTATGAATGTATCTCTGAGGGGAACTGACTGCCTTAAGAAAGAGTTTAGATGGCATTTTCCCTTTCATTTTGCCTCTGTATAATGCATTTAGTGTTTACAGCTGTAATCAAGGAAAAAACGCATCACTGCTGTTCCTTTAGCGCCACCTGCTGACATAGAGTGAATTTGCATTTTCTTCTTTCTTGTATTTTGCTAAAATAAAATACATTAAAAATCTGTATTGGATTCTGCCATGAAAAGTTAAGATCAGTGCATCCCTAAATTTATGAATGTCTGAAATGAAGAAATTAAGATTTAAATGTTAGGATTGTAGCTGTCTTTGGACAATAAAGTTCAATTCAATTCAATTAATCGTTTTAATCATATGCTAGATTTAATTATATCGCATGGAATCGATCTTACTGATATAGATATCGTACCTCAAAGTGATGATGTTACTGACCATTTCCTTGTATCGTGCGTGCTGCGTATTACTTATATTAACTATATGGCTCCGTGTTATTATCCAGGAAGAACTATTTTTCCAACCACTAAAGATAGATTCACAAATAAACTGCCTGATTTATCTCAACTGCTTTCTGTACCAATAAACACATATGAACTAGACGAAATGACTAGCAACATGGGCACTATCTTCTCTAATACATTAGAAGCGGTTGCCCCCATCAAATTGAAAAAGGTTAGAGAAAAACGTACTGCGCCATGGTATAACAGTAATACCCATTCTCTCAAGAAAGAAACTCGTAGTCTTGAGTGCAAATGGAGAGAAACAAACTTGGAAGTTTTTAGAATTGCGTGGAAAAACAGTATGTCCAGCTATAGACAGGCTCTAAAAGCTGCCAGGGCCGAGCATATCCACAAACTCATAGAAAATAACCAAAACAATCCAAGGTTTTTATGTAGCACAGTGGCTAGATTAACTAATAATCAGATGTCACCTGAACTAAATAGTCCCTCACAGATTAGTAGTAATGACTTTATGAATTTCTTCACTGATAAAATTGATAGCATCAGAAATAGAATAACAGATGTAGAATCGACAGCGTCTTGTAATTCAGCTTCATTCATCGCATCCAAAGAAAAACTGCAGTGCTTTACAACTATAGGACAGGAAGATCTAAATAAACTTATGGTAACACTTTCTATGAAGCCCGTATTTATAATACATTACAAGGGTATTCTTAAGGCATTATAATGAATGCATAATGTATTATAAAAAACCTTATAATATGTTGTATCATCTCATGAGTAATCATAACAACAGTTTTAATGCATTATAATATTTATTAACTCGGGAACGACGAGTTGTCTCAGCGAGGGATTAGTTCATTTTGTATTGACAGCGCATGAGCAACATACAATAGGTTCTGTACCGGAAAGAGAAATTATTAGTTAATCTCCCGAGTCTTTGGGTCCAAGTCATTCGTTCTTTTGTCACATGACGTGACAGCAGCAATGGATACAGAAATTAGTTAATAATTCCCAACCTTCATTACTAACAAGCTCATAGTTTGTTTATTTACCTTTACAGTTACGTTATGTTTTGTGGTCTCGCTTTATGGCTTTTTATTTCTTACAATTGATAAATTTGTGAATTTCTGTGATGGTTCTTCCGTGATGGTTCTTCTTCTAACTAATCCTTTCTCTTTCCGGTACAGACTGCATTGCCTTATGCCTATGGGACTGTTGCGTGATGAACGCACGACTCGAACCCGAAGACTCGGGAAGTGAACTAATCTTTCACTGCACTGTGCGCTCATGGTTCACCTGCAGGCGCTACTGTGTAAACTCATAAACAGAATTTAGTTGTTATAGACTCCAGGGCCGGCCCGTCGCATAGGAGAAATAGGCAAATGCTAGGGGCGCCGTCCATCCATAGGGGCGCCCAAATGAGTTGTTGTTTTTTTGTGTTTTTTTTAATAATATTATTTTAGTTAGGGGTGCACTATATATCTAAATATAATCGATATCGCATTATAGCTTAATGCCATAGTCATATCGCGAAGGTTGCGATTTAATATAAAAATACCAATGCGCTGCAGTTTTCAGAGTGAAATGGGTAATGTGTTCGAGTGCAGCCCATGACACGCAGCACTTCACTTCACTCTGAAACATGCAGCGCATTTATTTATTTGCTGGCAAACCACCAAAATAAAAGCAGTTTATTATTTTAAATTGAGCAGAGATGCACCGATCGACCATCAGCCATAAATCGGAACTGGGCGTTTTTTTGTTTTATTTCAGAGTCTGTAAACAGCGTTAACAGAGGCCAAAGACACAAAAAGGAGAAAATACATTAGAAGGCAGAGCAAGCTCACTGTTCACAATGGGCGAAGTATGAATGTATCTCTGAGGGGAACTGACTGCCTTAAGAAAGAGTTTAGATGGCATTTTCCCTTTCATTTTGCCTCTGTATATAGTGTTTAGTGTTTACAGCTGTAATCAAGGAAAAAACGCATCACTGCTGTTCCTTTAGCGCCACCTGAGAGTGAATTCATTCTTTCTTGTCTTTTGCTTAAATAAAATACATTAAAAACCAGTATTGGATTCTGCCATGAAAAGTTAAGATCGGTGCATCCCTAAATTTATGAATGTCTGAAATGAAGAAATTAAGATTTAAATGTTAGGATTGTAGCTGTCTTTGGACAATAAAGTTCAATTCAATTCAATTAATCGTTTTAATCATATGCTAGATTTAATTATATCGCATGGAATCGATCTTACTGATATAGATATCGTACCTCAAAGTGATGATGTTACTGACCATTTCCTTGTATCGTGCGTGCTGCGTATTACTTATATTAACTATATGGCTCCGTGTTATTATCCAGGAAGAACTATTTTTCCAACCACTAAAGATAGATTCACAAATAAACTGCCTGATTTATCTCAACTGCTTTCTGTACCAATAAACACATATGAACTAGACGAAATGACTAGCAACATGGGCACTATCTTCTCTAATACATTAGAAGCGGTTGCCCCCATCAAATTGAAAAAGGTTAGAGAAAAACGTACTGCGCCATGGTATAACAGTAATACCCATTCTCTCAAGAAAGAAACTCGTAGTCTTGAGCACAAATGGAGAAAAACTAACTTGGAAGTTTTTAGAATTGCGTGGAAAAACAGTATGTCCAGCTATAGACAGGCTCTAAAAGCTGCCAGGGC